GAATCAGAATTGTTCATCAGTGTCCTTAGTTTTTATTAGTTGCTTTTAAGGAACAGGCATGGAAAATGCATATAAGTCTCAGTCACAGTGTTGGACCATTGACAACAGGAGCTCACACTCTTAACGCCTTGTGTTTAGAAAATAGCTTGGATGGTTTTTGTACTTGCTTGGCTGTTGTACATCCATCTTAAATCTCTTAAGTTGTTTTGCATGATCTCAGCATCTTGTTCTCTCTTTCCCCTGAGTGTACCGGATTCATCTTTCATCATGCATATCAGTTGCCAAGCACGCTCCTTTAAGTTGGCTCCTAGACCACCTTCATAGCAAGATGAACAAACCCTTCAAAATGTTTTCATTTATTCAGCCGGCCATCTCTTCATTGCCGCCATGGTGTACCTTCAGCCAACCTCCTCTGCCAGAAAGATGCGGCACCATGTTTCTTCTGACAGTGGAGACAGTGTACCATGCTTGTTTAGGATGGTTTAACTCCCATTTTTTCCCCACATATAAATAAACTTGTCTTCTCTTTCCATCCAAGTGTCTACAAACCCCTTTTATAGGTAAACAGTCTTCTCAGTTAGACAAAAAGTTAAAAAGAGGGGAGGGGAGAAAGTAACAACACATGTTACATAGCTCTTGAAAAAGACAACAATAAAAGTGCTTCTAGTTTTAGAGAACATCAAAGCCATCCCATTTTCAAAATTACTTACAGGATATTCATGCTGCTATTAAATAAGCAGGTAATCTTTATCTGCTAATAAAAAAGCAGCCCGTTTCCAGAGGACTGTGGCAGTCTTCACAAGTTTTACAGAAAATAAAAAATACCAGCAGATAACAGGTATCATGTTTTCTTTTGGCAAATATTAACACTTCACAGCTAGCATATCTTGCTTACTTAATTGGGCCTATAAAAACTCACCAGGCCGTTTCAATTGGAGCCATTGAAATTCTCTCGACCTGTTCTTTACAGTTTTCAGAGCCTGGATGGGAAAACAGCTACAAAACAGACTGGCTGAAAAGATTTTTTAAAGTATCCAGTTCTTATTTATGAACCTTATATCTAATCAAATTCATTTATTTTGAAACAAATGAGGTGAATAAATCAGGAGGTTTTTTTTGAAAATTAAAAAAAAAATGCAACACCAACTTGAGAGAAAAAAAACAAAATATATCAGCTGAGTCAAGCCCCAAATTATGTCTATAGCTTTTCCAGCACTTTCTATCGGACTGCCAACCCTGCCTCCAGCAGAATTAATTGCTCTTTCTGAGTTTATAGGAGCTTGTACCTCTCTGTAGTATAGAATTTGTTGCATATGCTACTGTTTTTATGATGGTTTGGCTTAGATGGCTGTATTACTGACTAGAGTATGAGTTCCTCCAAAGTACAGATAATGTCATATTCTTATTACCAGCATTTGGCCTACACTAAGATTAGGCAAATACATTTATTAAAATTGAATAGGAGACACAGAGAAAAGAGAAGAGAAATGAAAAGAGAAGAAAGAAGTGGTGAGAGAAGCCTTAGGTTCTAGCCACTGAGAAGGTGTAATACTGGGGGAGAATGACAAACAAGATGGCCTGAGAAGAGCTAGATAGTCCAGAGAAGGCCAAAGAAAGAATGCCAGTCCCACTGAGAAAAATCCTTTAAAAATAGTCATAGGCCCTAATAGTCTTTCCAGTGATTACTTGGTTATTTTGGCCTTGAAGTCTTTTGTGGGTGAACATGCTTTAATTTTTTTCTGACCTATTTTTAAAATAGTTTAAGAGCCAGGCCCATCCCCCCAGCATTACCTGCTAAATAATAAAAATAAATAAATAAAATAGTTTAATTATACAGTTGGGCATCCATACCTGTGAGTACCACACCCATGGATTCAACCAGGTGATGAAAAGTGTCTGGAAAAAGTACATCTGTACTGAGTATGTAAAGACTTTTTCTTGTTATCATTTCCTAAATTACACAGTGTAACAACTATTTACATAGCAGTTACATTGTATTAGATATCACAAGTAATCTGGAGATGACTTAAAGTACATGGAATGATGTGTAGGTTATATGCAAATGCTTGGGCACTGCAGAGTTTTGTATCCCCAGGGGATCCTGGAACCAACTCCTGTCATAGCAGGACAGAACTATGGTTGTCAGGTAAGTTGTCTTCCTAATTTCCCTCCCAAAAGCTCAGAAGTTTTCTGGAAGAGTGAGGCATCCTGATCTGAGGTACAAGACATGGAGAAGTCTAACTAAGTCCATGAACGTATTTCTGATGACGATGGTGGAGATGACTGCCTTGATATTACTGAACTGATAGGAATCAATATGCTACTTCTATAATTTGAGTCAGAATCTTTGTTGACCACCTAGAGAAGCACCTTGGGGGCTCTTGGCTGTACCCCTGTCCTTCACACCCAGATGATTTGGTTTTAACAAGCACCTCTGTAATGCTGAGAACCAGCCTCATTTAGAAACAGCAATCTCATGAAAGGTGCATTGTTGGGTCTGACTGATGGGCAGGAATGAAATGTTAACTTTCTAAACTGCTTTCCTTGATCTCTCCAAAAGTAGTAAGACAATGGTATAATTTCTCAGGCCTCCACTAGACAAAAGGTACCAGTGTTTTTCCTTGGCATGGGGAAAGGAGAGGAAAGGATGCTGAGATTTTGTTCCCAGGTTTGGAGTATCTCAGGCGATCACAAAGAACACTCATCTTTTATGACAGTACAGTTCCCTTTGGGAAACTTTAGACCCCAATTGTCTGGGAAACATAAAATCAGTCACATTTGGCAAAGCTCAACACATTGGAGCATGGGAAACACAAATTAAAATAGAGATACTTCTTCATTCATTAGATTGTTTGGTTACATGTTGGCTTGGCATAAAAACAGAATCATTTAAAAAAAGGGAGTACCCAAGAGATTTGTTATCTTGCTGAGGCTTGGTGAGGATCAGAGGAAACTTTCAGTCTCTGAGGGTTAAACATCTTCATTCTCTTAGTTTGAATTAAGGCAATCATACAAAAATAAGGTCAAAACAACCAGGATAGCTTAATCTAAAATTAATTGTCTTGTTTTGCTCATGGGGACTCATAGTGGTTTTGACATGAACAGTTTTCAATGATTGGACATGGTGTTCTGTTTTGGTGATAGTGTAAATAACTTGATTTTATTACTGGTGTGTTTTGTTGAGGGAACCAAGTCTTACCTAACGAGTCACTCACAGCTCTTCTCAAAGGCAGTAAATCGATCTCGATCAAGTTTGAATTGTTATCTAATCTGTTATTCTGTGGAAATCTTTTTTTTCTGTGACTGAGGATCTAAGAGAAAAGCTGCCCCATCACTGTAAATGTCATTCTGTTTAATTCTAACATGTGTAATAAAACCAATAAACAGCTGCTGCTTTCTGATGTATAGTTTCAAGATTCCTGTCTCCAAAGAGCCTGCTGCCACTTGGTTTGCATTCACCCATCTTCACCATGCACTTCTGTCAGTGTTTTAAACCACATTCTATGAAGAGGAACTTCCTGGGCTGAGGAGTTTCAGTTGCTCTGTGCAACAGTAGTGGATCCTGAAACTGAATTTCAAACCATGTGGCATGCATGACCTGTCACAGTGTAGATGAGAAAATTGGAGGGAATCAGCTATGCTCTCTCCATTCTGACCTTGACAGCAGTAATATGAGTGTTATACCCAGACAAGAAAACTCTCTTTGTATAGGTTTGCCTTTCAAAAGAGCTGGTGTCTTTAGTGGGTACTAGGGATAAGAGAGTTCCTTACCTGGTTCTCAAAACAGCACTAATAAGTGTAGGAGAAGGCAGCAATCATCAAAGAGGGTATGAGAATGAATCACAGTGAGCATACTACTATGACTACCCTCAGTTCTGCTCTGATAACAATAGTGACAAGAGCTCACATTTATTGAGCAACAGCTGTGTTAGGTACTGTTCTAAGTATTTGACAGGTCCATGTAATCCAACTTGAAGCCTCCTCTTCTCTGCATTTTTTTGGATACTCAAGAGTTAAGTGCATTTTGTAGGTACTGATTTATCTTCCTGTAAAAGACCTGGAAATGAATTGTGCTACCCGGAGAAAACCCAGGGAGTATCCCCTTAGTAGTTGGGATATTCTTTTCTGTTCCCTGAATGTTGAAGGATTTGGTAAAACATATCTTCTAATACAAAAACTTCCCTTATCCCAAAATGAAGCCACCTTAGTATACTTGGAAGATCAGTGGAACATGAATTGCTCAGAGCTAATATATAAACAATTGATATCTCTGACAATAATCCTTCTGAAATTTACTTCTAATAGCCATTTTTAAAAGAGAGATGGCTCACATTACAAAAGTTATTAATTACATTACAAAAGTTGTTATTTAATGCTGGCCCCAGGGACTGAGGTCTAAGAGGAGGGCAAGAATTAAGGTTTGCTGGCTAGTGATAAAGATGCCCTGGTCCCCCCTTTTGTTTTTGGTGGTACTGGAATTTGGACTTAGGGTTTTGTACTTTCTAGGCAGGTGGCTCTACCACCTGGGTCACACAATTAGGCCCTCTTTTTTTTTTTAAAGCCTCATTATTTAGTGTCAATAGCTTAAAATATTTGCTTTTTAAAATAACAACATTCTACAGAAGCAAATATCACCACAATTTTATTATTAATGTTACAGTTAATGAAGTAGATTTGTAAAGCAAGTTCAAGCACATCATGCTACATATTTTGTCCCTGTCCTCTTTAGAGTAGCTGACGTCTGCTCCCCCCAAAACTAGTCAGTATGCCACAGGAAGTAAGTAAGAGCAATTAGAATGAACATGTACATCAGGGAGGTTTGATTTATGTATACAACTTCTGTGGGAGAAGCTGGCTGTGGTTTTGGTAATGCTCATATCTATAAAACTCAAGAAACCTAAATGTAACCTGATATGCATAGAATATTCTTGACCATATTCTTCTGCTCTCAATTATTTCTGGAAAGAGGGACTCGTGATTGGAATCAGGCAGGGGCTTACCCAGTGAAGATCATAATCAGATGGTCTTGCTCTTCCTTCCTCTTCCTCATGTAAGGGGAACCCTTCCCTCCGAGCCTGGTAGTACTCCTTCCGCAGCTTCTGGATACGATCATTGCTTCCAACTGTGGGATGGCCACTGTAGCACATGAACAAACACAGTTACATAGTGTATATCCCTCTTGGAAGTCACTTTTTGATCTTCCTATTAAGGGGGCTGACATCCAAAATGGAGAGATTTGATTGTAATTCAAATATACTAGGACAATGGTGAGATCAGTGATAAAAATGAACAAAAATGGTCCTTATGTGCATGGCTTCAGCTTCAAGGGCCAACGCATCTGACTTGGGATAATAAATGCTTTTTGAATACGAAGGTAAGTAAGATAAAGTCCTGACCTTTTAGGACAGTTAGAAAGGCATCACTGTTTTCTTGCAGTCATACACACAGAGTTTGGTTAAATCTAAGTATGGGTATCTCTTTTCTCAAATAAGTGTTGCCTGCTTGGAATTAAGTTTCAGTTGTTTGATCTGAAGGTTGTAAGTAGTATGGGGTTGGCATGTGAGAGGGTCCATTTCAGTGAGACTCATCATTGAGGGTGGAGGGTGTCATAGTGTGATACAGGTCAGTATATGGGTACAATCAGGGCACAGGTAAGGAAAAAAGGTGAAAGCCATTCCAAAGAGTAAAAATTGAAAAGGTAGGGAAGGCTGGGTGACAGATGAATATGCCATCTATTGCTTGTACAAGGTTCTCTTCTCTGTGCTTTACCTACTGCTTCCTCCCAGGACCCACAGCTTGTCTAGTACACTATCCATGCAACCCCACTTTGGCTGGGAAACAAGAGGAAAATGATATCCAGATCTGAACTGTCATTCAACTTCTTTGGTTCATTTGAGGCATAACTAAGTGCCCCATTGTGCCAGCCATTATGTCAAGACCCGGGAATGTAAAACCAAACATTTCAGTCTTTATCTGCAAAAGTCCCATTCTGGGAGGTAGGGGGCGTACTGGGGTAGAGAAAACTATAGTCTATTATGATAGGTGACACAACGGGTTTCAGTATAGGTGTCATGGGAACACAGAGTGCTTAAATTTTGGCAGAGTGAGTGGACCATGGACGATGATCATGGAAGACTCCACAGAGGAGGGTGACATTTTAGCTAAGACTTGAAGGACGCATAGGTGCTCAGCAGCTGGACAAATATGATGAGTTAATTCCATGTACAGAGAAGGGCAGTGCAAGGAGGAACAGTAAGAGAAAGTGAAGTCAGTCAATTGGGGCAGGCAGTGGTCCTCAGCTTTTGTCCTGCCTCATACACATATCAGATGACATATGTTCTCTTCCCTCTCTCATTTAGAAGGAAAATTAGAATAAAAATGAGTGCTGATGATTTTAGTATATGGGTATGTAGAATTTACACAAATGCGAAAAGCCTATCATTAGAAAATGTGGTTACTTTAACTCAATTGGTAATACCACTTATGTTTCATGGGTATATGAGAACCACTGTTGTAGTTTATAAGGACAAGTGGAGCTTAGACAGATAGGTATAGAGGTCCCAGGGTGAAGAAACTTGCATACCAAAAAGGTCCCCAAAGATTACAGTTGAGTTTTAAATTTAAATAAAAGAAGGAAGTAAAGAAGGTGAATATTATTGATTTACTTTTTATATAAAAGTGAATACAGAATTTTTATACCTATGGAAATCACCATAAGAAGGGGACTAAGGTAGAAAGGAGAAAAATAGAGGGATGAACCAGTTTGGGTTACAATACATATATACATGGAAATGTCACAATGAAACACCCTGTATAGCTATCTTAAACAAACAAAAATGCCTTTTTTCAAAAGCTGAGGATAAGAAGGTAAAACAGGTCCTGTCTTGGGGGGTGGTATCAGTGGAAGGGAGGGAGGGTGTTAGGAAAAGGTGCAGGAGGGTGAACGTAGTGGAAAAATTATGTACTTGTGTATGAAAATGGAAAAATGAGAAATGTCGAAACTATTCTAGGAATGGGAGGGGTGGATAAAGAAGATTGATGGAGGGGGTGAATTCAATCATGATATATTGTAAGAACTTTTGTAAATATCATAATGTGCCCCAGGACACAATAATATGATAACAAAAGAGTTACCTGATAAAATGGAGAGATCTAAAAGCAATAGAAAGAGATCTCATATTTTGTGAAAGTATTTAAAAATTGTGCTAGTGGTTGTAAAAGAGAATGGTTGAGTAAACATGGTTTGGAGGGAAAGCATTCTTCCTGAACTAGGTCGGTGAGTTAACGGAAGGGGCGGTGCTGTGCCTTGTGTCTGTGCCTTACAGCCTCTCCATGGCAGCGTGTGCCTGGCTCTGGGCTTCCTGGGTGCTCTGCAGACACCCACCAGTTGATGCCTTTGAGTAAGACAAACCTGTAGGGATCACAGATTCCTTATTTCATCAATATGTATTTTAAAGTTCTCAAAACAGTTCTAATTCTTTTTTAAAAATTAAAGTTTTTTTGAGCACTTGAAAAAGATAACAATAAAAACACAATAAAAGGCCTGCTAAATTTTTCGAAGCATGTCTATTCTGAATAGCTTCCTTGCTCCTGGATAATTTGAGATGACTGTGGTGGTGGCTGGATCCCATGCACAGGCTTTTGCTGTTAGGAGAACTCATGGGCGGCATTCAAACTCAACAGATGAGTTCAATCAAGATGCAAACATCGCATACATAATCTATTAGTTTACCCCAAAGAAACTGAAGCATTGAATTCAAGTAGAATGAAGTCATCAGTAATAAAGGGGGAAAAAAAAGAAAGAAAGAAACTGATAAGGTACTGTTAAAAAACCCAACATAACCAAAAACTAAACACCACAATTTTCCTCTATTTGTGGTGGGAAAAAATCATATTCAGACTATAAACTATTCTTCCATCTGCCTATAAATACATAAATTTAAAAATATGGGTTTGATCAGATCACAGTTCTCAAATAAGGGAATGGGGTAAGAATACAAACTCAGCTGTTCAGGATTCAAAAAATCCCCCATTGCTAACAGGAACATGACTATTTACCTGGAAAAGAAATCTGGCCTCAATGAAAATATAGGGAGATAGTCATGGTGTATCTGCGTGCAAAACATGCTATTTCTTCCCTCTTGTGTAAATATTGTGATGATCCAGAGGCTGGGCATGGGCACGGTGTGTACATCTGTAAACCCAGTTGCTTGGAAGGCAGAGGTAGGGGAATCGTGGTCTGAGGCCAGCTGGGCAAAAGCACAAGAACCTATGGCATGGTTCAAGTAGTAGAGCACTCGCCTAGCAAGCATGAGGCCCTGAGTTCAATCCCTAGTACATCCAAAAGAAGGAGGAGGAAGAAGAAGAAGGAAGAGGAGGAAGAGGAAGAAGAAGCATAATACCATTAAAGTCTCTTATGATAACTTGGGACTTACTCAATACTCAATATCATCTTTTCTTTTTCAACCCTCATTCCTACCTTCATGAACTGTATAATATTTTTCCAAGAGAGTGTTTTATATGTTAAAATTAGGAATAGCAAATTCTGATTTTACTTTTCAACTCTTCTCAGCAGATAATACACGTATACTTATCAAGTTAATAAAAATGATAGATGCCATTATTGTAATTAATGCAATTAACTGATTTCATTTTGTGTTGAAGATGTGGAAATTTAGCAATTTATTGCTGGACATACAAACACTTTTAATAGCAGCAATCAGTACAATAGTTATAATGTATACAACATTTATATAGCCAACATACCAATTTGACAAGCTTTCCTTACTTCACTAGCTGCCTGGAGCAGATGTCTCTAATTTATTACAGTATTCTTCCTAATGATCCCAGATACAGCTTCAGAATCCTTCTCAACCCAGAAGTTCAGAAAGCCATTACCAAACTGTAAGAGCTGGCACTTAAGACAAATTTCATTATTATTAAAAGGTTCTGTAAATACCTTAAAATCTCCAAAGAAAATTGAAAGACAGGTGTTTTTATTATTCTGCTCAATAAAGATGAAGAACATGAGGCTCATATGTAATTGATGGTTAACAAGGTCAGCCTGACTTTAAAGACCCCCTCTTCCTAGCATAGCTTTTGACCTCCCAGCCTGTTTCTCTTCCTCCATTTTATTTATATCTTAGAGGCTGTGCCCTCTAGTAACAAACTGAACCAGCACTGAATTGAGGCTAGCCTTCAGGACTTACTTTCTGAGGATCCCCCTTTCCCTTCTCCATGTACATGTCATCTGTCCTATTTTCTCGGCTTTATGGAACTTAGCAGTACAGATTTTAGGGACTCTTGCCCGACATCTTCAGAAGTGACATCAGATTAGGATGTAACTCAAATATTTCTGGAGCTGGGTAAATCCTGCCAGGGAATCAATAGCTCCATCTCTATGTTGCTAACTGGAAAATTAGGCTTTCTGCATTATTTGTTTACTGCATGAACCTGGCCATTCTTACAAAAACATTCCTATTACAGCTCTATCCATATGTAGGTGATCAATGCCACTCTTATACTTCCAATATGCCAAATTTTTACATTAAATAAATTCAAGCAGTATAACAAACATTTGTATTGTAGTGATTTCTTGCCAAGTAGACAGCCTATGACTTAGCGAGGCAGAGGCATTGTTAAACAGGCCCCTCTTATAATACTGCAGAGCTGGACAAAGCCTAAAGTTGTAATGGATTTCAGAAACTATGTCATTTTCTTCAGTTACTAATAATCATAACTGACAGGCCACCATATGTGACAAATGTCACATGAAGGCACTGTCTGCTTCTTTGGAATCTAAACCTGTTCTTCCTACCCCATAAATTTCCTCAACTGTAATACTTCTTAGAATGAATGCTCTTTTGTGCATGTGGTAGTCTCTTCTTATTGCTGCTACAGATGAGAAAGTAAACTAACATTTATGGAGCTTCTGTGGTGTCCTCAATACAATATTTATGTTCTACGTACTTCATCTCATTTAACTTCCAAATGACTGAGAATGACATTGTCAGTGACATTTCTCAGACAAGAACACTGAGGCTCTGAGAAGTTAGATAACACAACTGGTGAGTGGAAGGCCAGGATTTGTGTGCTTGCAAAGCCTGCACTGTTCGTACCATATCGTGTTGCCTTGT